TAGCCCTGAAAAGTTTTGCCTCCGAAAGATCCACGGCATGCGTTGCCCATCAAACAATCAAAATCCCCAGCACTCAGCTCAGCTTCGATAACAACGCTTTCCTCATCCAATACTAGTAGTTGTTTTCTTGAAGAATATTGATATTGATAGATAGATCTAAACTAGACTAGCGACGAAGACATGAATTCGATGGGAAGAAGAAGATACAATACACACAGGTCAACTCCAACAGCGATCTACTCTCCTATCCTACTTGCAATTTTTTTTATTATTTTATTTTATCAAAATCTACTACGTTTGCCTCTTTTTATTTTACTATTGCTGAAAACAAGTTTACATTTTTCTCTTTTTAAAAGCTAGCACACTCATAAATGGTGGAAAACGACAATGCCGAGGAGGAATGACTTTGCTCGTTTTGGAATTTTCATTCTCATATTTTGTCCGCCCTTTCTTCTTTTATATTTAAGGGATAACGCGAAAATTTAATATTATGAAATTTATAAAATATACTTAAAAGTTATTAGTCATTAAAACTAAAACACTATATTATCTTACATACAAGATTACGTAGTAACAAACATTAATAATGTAAAGGAAAATAAAAATTATTATATCTTATCATTTATCATTAATAACATAAGCATAAAATAATGAGTATAAAATTACATACCATGATAATATAACATAAGCAATGGTGTCAGTGAGCCACTCAAAAGGAGCAAAGTACACAAATATTTAATTGTGAAGAAGAATAAGAAGAGGTTTAGAATTTTTGTTGTTTTAAAATGAGAGGAATTTCCTCTATTTATAGAAAACAAAAGATAGTGTGAACAAATGTTTATTGTGCATTATCGGAAAGGTTACAACTATTTGGAAAAGTTGCAACCCTTCGTAAAGGTCACAACCTTTCATATAAATCACAATTTTTCATAAAAGTCGCAACTCTTCATAAAAGTCACAACTTTTCATAAAATTCGCAACTCTTCATTAAAGTAACAATTTTTCATAAAAGTCACAACTTTTCATGAAAGGGGAAGACTGGTTTTGTAAATAAATAAAATTAAAAGAGAATTCTTGTTGTGGTGGCGCCACGTAGGCGGGCCTAAGGTTTTCTTTTATATATATATATATATATGATTTCAGAGACCACCCTTCATGTTTCACTCAATTACTTTAACCTTCTTCGTGGTTTACGATATTACGTATATATTTTATTTTTATTTTTGTAACAAATCCTTTTATCTATTTTTTATTAATGTAAATTAAATACACTTGACAAATCTACCTTTTTTTAATATTACATTTTTCATTTAAACTCTCATATTTAACCAAAAAAAAAACAATGTTAAAATCCCGTAATTTCTTTGTTGGAAAGTATTTTTCCCTACAAACATGGGTCCTACGCTTTCTTCTTCTTTCCCCGTGAGGCCAATTATTCCATGGACGTGTATCTTTCAAAATCTAACTGAAACTGATAATTTGAATCAACAAAAAGTTATTGGTTTATCGGTAATGGATTATTGGTTTAAAAGTTTCTCTAACGGCCGGGTTTTGATTTTTTATTATTCGATTATTCATTCTTAACGGTTTGAGGTTTTTTCTTAACGGGTTAACCGATAACCTAATAGTAAATTAAATAATTACATTTATACCATTTGGTATATAAAGTCCTTGACTTAGAATTTAGTTTTATACTTTTATTTGTGGTTGTCTCAAACTCTCAATCATTCTACAATGTGACAATGTTTGTTTTAGATCAGGCAAAAGTACTCATTACCCCTTGAAGTTGAAACTTTTTATACGGTGTACATCTAAACTAAATTCCGTTTTTATTACTCCCGAACTTGTTTATTCCTCCGTCGCGTACACCTTTTTCATCCACCTGCTCCTATTGTGACTACACACGCGCGCGACAGCTGGCAAAAGTGGTGATGTGGATTTCCACTTGGATAAATAATAGCCACCTAGATAAATTAATATTGCAAAAAATATATTTCTTAAATTTAAAATTCATTGTTTAAAAGTTGTTTTTGAATAAGGGCTGAGTTCGCGGAACTCCTTCTGGATTTGGATTTTTCTAGACGTGAAGTTGGTCGATTAAATTTCAAATTTGTCTGAAATTCTTACCAAGTAAGTGTTAATCTTTGTTTCCTTTAATTTTCATTTACATTTTGCCCTATTTTTCGTTTAAAATATGCCAAATATTAAAATTCATCGTTTAAAAGTTATTTTTGAATAAGGGCTGATTTCGCGGAACTCCTT